ATATATATATATAGCGAGAGAGAGAGAGAGAGAGAGAGATCATCACAAAGGCACTAAAACATGTGAATTGCCCACTCCTCAAGCATTATACCATACACTCTAAATTTGGAAATTATATCCATACCATGTCATTTCTGAGTTTCCAGGGACATATCCAGGGAATGCCATGCCAACAGCAGGAACTCCTATACCACCAGGATGCTGACCTCCAAATTGCATGACTGTGTCCCACCAAAGCCAAATCAAAATTAGAAATATTCATTGACTAGCTAAAAAAATGTAATTGACTAAAATAACTGCTTAGTCTTGCTCTGATAGGACTACAAACAAAAGGCCAAATGGGTGTTAATAGTAGAGCCTTCAGGGTTAAGATATCCATCTTAACATTAAATAATATAAGCATTAAATTTGACACAGGACAATTTTACAGCTTACACCTACATTCGCACGAGAAATTGCATTCCAACATCAGAAGTTCTAATAATTAATAGGTATATGGGATCTAAAATTTCAATAAAGTCAGCAAAGCAAGTACAAACCTGGCAAAAAGGTTGGGACATTTGGATCTCCATGACTAACACTCACATTTCCAGCAGCGCCCATTGCCTGTGCCCCACCATAAACAAAAGAGCCCATACCAGCACCATGGGTACCTCCCCTTCCATTCCCAACCAAAGCACCTTTGGCTTTACCTGATTCTGGTCCGTCATGCATATCTCCAGAATCATGTGAATTCATTGACATGGATGTTTTGGGAGGAGATGATGATTGAGACCTACTACTAGGTCTATGGCCCAACTGCGGAACAGTAGCTTGTACAGAAGTAGAATTCCGTCCTGGAGCAGAACTTGTCTGAGTAGCCAGCAGTTGCGTTGGAGAAACTTTATTTATTTGATTATGTGAGGGAGCACGCTGATAATTCATCTGCACGGGGATTGCTGTACCCCTCCCAGTCCCAGAAGCCCTGAGATGAGGAGATTGAGAAGCATTGACTCCAGAAGATCTCAGTGGCACCATGTGCTCATTGTTTAAAGGTTTTCCAACAGATGCAGGGATGGACTCATCAATATACAGCTTTGCCATGCTGATGGAATCAGCAACATTCTTTCCCCGAAGCAGTGCATTGTTTTGTTGAACTGGAAAACCCTCTTCCATAACAAAAGGGCCAGTGCTCCTGCTACTGCCGCCCGTTTGTACCTCCCTTTTTTGTGCATCTTTGTTGGAAGAGACTGACGGATAATATGGTGGGGATGATGAATTCAAATTTGAAGCAACCACTTGAATTTTAGCACGGACAGCGTCAGATTCTGTGTTGGAAGCAGATATGGAAGTCCTCTCTGAACTAACATTTGAAGTTTTCTCAAGAGACTTCCCAGATCTTGGAAAACAAAACAATACTTATCAGAAAGTCTTGACTCTATAGGTATCATGTGTCAAGAAAATTTTATAAAATGCAGCCTGAACTTACTGTTTATTTTGCACTTGGGGAGATGGACCATTGCTTTTATTGGTACGTTCATACCTTTGGGGGCCTCTCCCTCTCACAACACTCTTAGGCACCTGATTTTGATTGCTAGAGCTGTCATTATACCCTTTCCTGTTTCCTCGAACATATCCTCCCCGATCAGTGCCTCGACTCTTAGCATGGCCATGATAATTACCCTTAGGTCTCCTCTAAATTTTAGACAGAAAGCATTAGAAAATAGACTTTCAGAAAAATGACAATCGAACTAACAGGAATGCTTGACCACACAACACTTTAAAGATCATCACCTCTTCATAGCGCCTTTCATGAAAAGTAATTTCCTCAAATTTATCATGTCCCCATTTCCTGTCATCTTTGGACTCCCACAGTCTCCTTCCACCAGGTATCCGCCTAACGCGATAAAAAATAAGAATTTAATTAAAACTCACAGACAATATTTACACTCTCATCCAATCATGAATTTCCATGTATAGTAAACTTGTTGAATTTTGTAATAATAACTAATCGGTTGAGCATAGACTAACGGTGTATCAAAATTGAACTCAAAAGAGAAAAGACAATGCATTCTATATATTTTAACCACCATAATTTGGGCCTTTGGCTACTCGATGGAACCTTGAAGTATCCCTACAAGCTTCAGTCTTTAGGGTCGGCTATGAGATTAATCATCGATAAGGAAATTGAACCCACTTAAAGTACTCAAGGATGTGTTATGTAGGAATCTATCTCAGTTCCCACTCACAACCTTCGGTCGAACACGGGACATAAAGGTGTTGTTCTCGTCTAGTTTAGTTTGATCATGAAACTAAGTCACAGCAAAACTCAAATAGGATATTCCAAGTCCAAGTAACTCTAGAAGGCTATATTTGGGATGGTGCAAAATATGAACGAAACAAACCTGTGACGAGCACCAGAATTGTCCCTAAAACGATCATCGTGCATGTAAAAAGCTCCAGCAGTGGGCACCGCAAATGGTTCATTCTCCTTTTTCTCCTCCAAATGGTCCTCAGCAGAATCTTCCAAAGGGGGTCTGACATCATCATCACCATCACCATCAGATTCCTTGACCACAACCACTGAACCCTCATCAACCCCACCACTTGCACTCTTCTCCTCGTACACCTCTTCTTCAACTTCCTCATCTTCTAATTCTTCTTCTTCTTCTTCTTCTTCTTCTTCAACAACATTACCATCATCATAGTCTTCAACACCTCCTTCGTCATCTAACACATCAGAAGGAACCTCTACCCTACGATCTTCCCTCTTATCAGTGACTTCTCCTTCGGCTTCTTCGTCATCGCTGGCTTCGCGCCTCCGCATTGTTAACGGTCGCTTTGCCTCTTCCGGATCACTATCGTACTCAACATTGTTTTCTTCAACCGCGCTAGCCATCAATACCAAAACAACAACAACAACCTATAAACCCCGACCAAAACCTAGACTTTTCCGAACCCAAAGCAGAAACCTTAAAAACACAACTTTCAACAAATCCCAACTACCCAAACTGACATAAAGAAAAAAAAAAGTTTATGGGGTGACGAATAAGCACCAATCACCACCGGAATTTCCCACTCAATAATGAAACCCAATATGTGAAATTTCTTCAGTCGATTGAAAACAACCCCAAAAACAAAAGCCCAAAAATTGAGAGATTATGAAGGAGCGGGACAACAGGGGAATCGAAGCGATTGAGATGCATAGATGAGTGATTTGATTATTTGAGAGATTTTGATTTTTGAGTGAGAGCAGAGCAGGATTTGTAAAGGAGAGGGGAGTTTAAAACTTGAAATAGGAAACAGTGTTAGGAGGAATTATCTGATTTCTTGGAGGGTATTTTGGGAATTCCATCTTTAATTGAGATTTGGAATCTGATCAACTTCTGGCACGGGAGATCAATATTGGAAAAAATTAGAGTGATCCAATCGCTTAAAAAACCAATTTACAATTCATCAATTCTATAATGCTTAAAAAAAATAAATAATAATCTTCTCTTATGTTATAATTTTTTTTATACACTCTTATGTTATAATTTAGTGTAATGATTTATGACTTATACGAATCATTAAGTTTATAATTATAATTTTATTTTATTATATTTTTAATAGATTTTTAATCATTACCAAATTTTATATAAATCTGCATAAAATTTTAAAATATTAATTATAATTTTGATATATACTCAACTGATTTTGTATTTACATATGTATTATGTATTATATCATTTTAATTTATATAAATTATTATTAAAAATATTATTTATATTATATATAAAGTTATATATAATTTAGATATATACATTATTTTAATTAGAAATAAAATAATAAATATTTTATATTATATTTTGTACTACCTCCTGATATCTTAAGATGTTTTAATTTCTTTTTATATTTCAAAATAATTGATGTTTTAAAATTTCAAAGTCTAATTAAAGTTGGTTTAAAAAAAACAAGTCTATTTAAGCTTTATAATTTGATCATTTAAGCATATTAATTACGATTCAATTTTTTATAGTATGCATGAAAAGTAAAACATGTGTGCAAATAAAATTAACTGTTAAGTATATTAAATTAGGATTTCAAAAGATTTATAAAAAAAATTGTGTGATATTTAATTAAGACTTTTTTAATCTAAAAATTTATGTGGTATTGAGCTAATACATTTTTTTTAATAATAGTTTATCAAAATAGCATTCAATTAAGATAATAAGAAATTTTTGAAGAGGATATCAAAATTTAGTGATATTTAATTAATATTTTTTTTACTTAAAAAATGTATTGATATTTAAAAATATAGATATTTCAATTAAATATTTTGATAGATAAATTTTGTGAGACTTTTATAGAATTCATATATATATTTTACTCATCTAATAATCTCATCAAAACTATTAAAATTTCACATTTTTTTTCATTTATTTCTCTTTTTTTTTTCTCTCACTGTTTTTTATAGGGATGTCAAAGTGGGTCGTGGCTCGCGGGCTGGCCCGTTGGCCTACCAAAAATTGGCGGACCAGGCCTATCATTTCAACCCGCCAGCCCACCAAGCCCATCTCGTCAAGCCCGCCAACTCGTTGGGCCAAATAGCGGGCCGACCTGCCACAACTCGCGAGCCTGCATATTTATTTATTTTTAATTTAATTATTTTTAGGTTTATTTTATTTTGATATAAAAGATGGGGATGAAGATGATCAAGAAAAAAAATAGAAACAACTTCTTCCAAGAGAATTTCTAATATTCTTAAAATAAAAATTCAAAGTTAATTAATTGTATTTGAATTTGTTTTATGAACTATCAAAAAATTTAGTTTATAAGTAATTTGTAAGTTTATAATTTAGTTTTGATTTTGGTGTAAGTAGACTAATTTCTGTTTAATTTTGTTCTAAGTTTGTAATTTGCTTTTGTTGAACATATATTATGTATAATATGTATGCATTTTTAATTTTATATGATTATATTTATTTATTTGTAGCAAAAAAAATTTATTTGAACATAAAATATTTTTTTTTCTATTTCTTTTAATTTTTTTTGTATGCGGGCTAGCTTGCCAACCCGTCAGCCCGTCCTTAGACAGGGCAGGCCAACATCCCCAACCATTTTTACATTGGCGAGCCGGCCCGGCCTGGCCCATTTTTGGCGAGCCAAAACGGGCCAGACTAGCCCATTTTGCATCCCTAATTTTTTACTTATGTTCCATCTCCTCTTTTCTCTCTCCTCTTCCTCTCTTTCCTATTTTATCTTTTTTTTTTCTCTCTCTTCCCTATCTCATCTTTTTTTATTTATTTATTGCTCTTCCTATTCTTATGTCTTCTTTATCTCATATTCTTCTTTCTTGTTTATATATCTAATTTATTTTTTTCTTCTTCCTTTTTTTCTCTATTTTTTATCTATAAATATTTTTTTTTTACATTTTATCTATCAATATTGATGTCTCATTTGTCAATATTTATTTTTGAATTATTAAATATTTAAAAGTTATGTTTGAATTATTAAATATTGTATATTATTAAAAATTTTAAATTATTAAAATTTAAAAAATATTTATTTTCAATAAAATTTAATATTAAAATTTTAAACATACGTTAAAAATATATTTTGACAATTTTATTGATTAATAAATATCATAAACTTGAACATATTACAAATCATTAAAATCTATATTATAAAATCTTGATTAAAAAAAAATCATTTAAAAAAATCTTAAAAGTTATTACATTCCTACAAATTTTTTAGAAAAAAATTTTAAAAGTTATTATAAAGTCTTTTAAAATCTACAAAAAAATTTATACTAAAAAAAGTCTTATGAAATCTCAATCCAATGTAGTTGAAAATATTGGTCAATTCATCATTCAACATTACTTCCATAAAATTAAAAGGTTGATGAGAAATTCTAAAATTAACATTGTATGGGTAAGGAGAGCCTAGAGAAACCAACAAAAAAAATATTCTTCTTAGTTAATCAATAGTTTGACATTAAAAAAAAAAAAATTATATTGAGTTTGCGACTAAAATTTCTTAACATTGATCTTAGTTGAATTTTTATCAACGAAGTAGTAGTAAATGTGGCTAATGATTTTGGTTCTCAGTTTCTTAGTTTTATCTTTTCTATGAATTCTCTGTATATTGTGATTGCTTTTATTTGTGAAAATTAGTATATTTTAGTTTATTATAACCTAATTTATATTTGGTGGGTTATATATATATGAACATAAATTAACATTGTATAGATAAGGAACGATCCTGTGCATCATATACTGAGTTGTGGGCATTATGTGTTTGATTAAATGCGACATTGAGAAATAATTAATGACACCGTGGGAAGAGAAGTTATTTGATAAAATTTGTAAAATTGTTTTGGTTATTTGAGTCCAAAACAAAGGTGCTAATATAAAACAAACAAGAGAATGAATATATTTGATTAAAGAATCCCAAGGAACTGATTTCCACGTTCAAAACAAATGCAAGACCAGTATGTTGAACACAATACAATACACGACTCCTATCCTAACAGATAAATATCCCTGGAAATGGAACCGTGTCATGATAATTTAGCGATGTGCGAACACTGTCAACAAAGTAGAAAATTTACGTGAAGACGAACCGCCCTAATGCAAAATTTAAAATAGAAAACAGATTTTGGGGAGATATCCATGATTGTGGTTAATAATATGGCAATGGTAGATGAAATTACGTAGCATAAGTTTGGAGTGAATAGAAGTGGGACTGCTAGCATGCGATAAAAAAGAGTGATCAGTAGCCTCTGAAATATTTAAGATAGAAAATAAAAGAATTCATTTTGATCTTAGCCACATCTTACACAACAGAAAGTTCAGCATGAATTATACCATGATTGCTCAAGCAACAAAATGTTACAAAATTCCAAGCCAAATTGCCGTACAAAATTATGGAAAAATAGGTGGCGAGAGTTCTGAGATTTGGTCACTGATTCACTACTTAAAATAAACATAATTTTATAATTTCCTCTCTATTTCCCAAATATACAACCTAGTTGTAGTAAAGTATATGATACACTAAAAACAAAACTAGAATTGCCAGGACCCAGGTGGTAGTAATTATAGTAGAAGCAGCTAGTTGTCAAATTGGGAGTTAGATATGGCACTTCAGAAACAATCACCCGAGACAAAATTTCAATTTTCACACGACCCCAACCAAAATGCTTCTATGCCGACGGGGCTCCATTACTTGTACCCCTACTCTTCATCGGCTTCATTACCATTGATGAGCACTGCACCATCAGTAGAATCCGCATCCACTACAACTGCCTCCTCTTGGCTTCCTTCCTCTCCATTTTGTTCCTCATGTTCCTCAGTGTAGTGCTCTGTTCCATTTTGTTCAGTCAACTGGGACAAAAGGTCATAAAAACAACATAAGACACTCTAACACCACCACTGATAATCAATTGGGATCGTAGATTATTAACACCACCACTGATAATCAATTGGGATCGTAGATTATTCTTTCTGTTGCAGCAAAAGCATACAATATTTTATTTTCGGAGGAAAATTTTGATAACTTTTGCATGGTGTTGGCCCTATATTTAGTATACCTCATGGTTAGAGTCCCCATTCTCAAGAGGCTGATCCTCCTCTTCTATCATCATGTTTCTGAAAGCTTCAACAAGGGTGCTATGTGATTTATCAGCCTGGTTGATGTACTCCGCTGCAGGATGGTAAACACCCCTATGTAACAAATGAACAAAATAAGTTCGTAAAAGACATTTGAAGAGGTCTAGCACACAAAACGCTAATACATAAATTACCGAAGTTGCAAGATACTTGTAAGAAAGAATGCATTTCCCTACTGACCTTGTTTCTGCAACTTTAGATTCAACAGCAAGTGCAACTTGCCAATCATCAAACAAATTAGGATACTCCTCAGGATCAGCCAATGATTCAGCAGCTTTTGGATTAACCTGTGCATGTTAACAAATAAATGCAAGTATTTATATTTGTCAACTTGATAAGAATCCTAGGCCAGGGCAGGGCAATGAAAAATGAAAACAGAAGTTTCTACCCACAATATCAAGTGCACAACATAAATGTCAGGCTGTTCCATTATAACTAAATTATATATCTGAATAACAAATTACCTTACTGAGATCTTTTCTCCAAATTGCCACTATCTCTGAGACTTTGCTTGGGAGATAGGATCGGGCCATTAAAGTAGCCTCTGGAATCCGATTGCTGCAAAAAGCACAACTCAGCTGCTTCCAACTACAGTCTAATCAACCCGTTTCTCTCTCTCTCTCTGAATATCAT